TGCAATGCCAAATCCATAAAAACATGAAGTTTGTTGGTTCAGAAGCTCACAGAAACCTTTTTTCTTCCATAATGTTCCATAATGTGAATCAAGATTTAATATTCTGAAACTAAGCATTGTTGGACACAACTTGTTTCTGGCTGGAAACTGGTGATCTGTAAAGAATGTAGTATCTGGAGTTTCTTCATGTTAATAATTATTGCTTGTTTCTGTTTTTCAACTTGTTTCTAGAGAGGTGTGTTTTACTGCCATTACCCACATCCCCAACGCTTTTTTTAAGCTACAACCTTGTCTTGCTATTTGTCAACGTGCTTGTCAGTAATACGGAAAAAGAAGAGTGGCAGTGTTAGCAGGGATTATTGAAACTATTAATAGTCCATTTCTATTTGTGAGAACACATTTCCTTTTGTTAATCTGTAGTTACAGCAAACAGAACTTCTAAGAAATAGAAGTATTTCTGTGATTGAAACAAGCATGTATTCTGATCCTGCCTTCTGCGTTGATTAGAGACAGACTCAATTGCATTCTGGCAGAACAATTTATGTTGAAACTGTTGTTATCTAAAGGCATAAACGTTATTACTGTGTGATACTACTATTTTAGTTGACTGGATAATATTTCTAATGCCAGAAGTGTTGGTGATTGTTTCAAGAGGGTATTTTTGACGGAGGTTTTGCTGTTGTCTGTATAGCTACTGGACCTGGAGATTCTGGTTGCATTTTGCAAGATGTATGCAGGTTTCTTGTTCTGCAACAAGCACTGTCGTGCGTAGAGAATTTGCATTCTTTCCCCTGAGCTTGGCTCCATTGCAGTTAGAGGGAAAGATTCAAGAAACAATATATGATTAATCTATACATACTCTGCTGTGAACTATCATGTTAATGATAGTTACTTATGTGAACTTAATAAGAAAATACGGGAAGATTATCAGAGGTAGTCCTGCTCAGATGAATCTCCTGGAGTTATGATAGTGTCTTTATATATTAGCGACTGTAGTTACATATTGCAAATATGTAATATATGCAAATTTTGTGGGATAACATAAAAGCTTTAGTTTGGATCTCATTTTTTTGCATTGTTTTTCAAGAGAAAAAGTGTGTCTTTTCCCTCAGGACTTGTATATCCCAAATCATCCAAATAAAACACGATATATTATTCCTTGGCTTTGAGAGCAGTGGGCATATATATCGTCTGGTTTGGTGACTTTCATAAGCTCTTGTTTAATATTTATGTAGTAGCTTTGTGTATGTGGGCTGAAACCATTCTGCTTAGTGTCTGTTTTAAGTAATTGAAATAGATTATTAAATTACAGGTAAAGAGAAAGAGAAATGATGTGAGGAAAAAACACAGCAATCACTCTGTCCCCAGGGAAAGCATTTTCTTTTAAGTGTCATACAGTGAATTTTCTCACTGACATGATATAGATCTTCATTGTGTTTCAAGGTAAGGACAGAAAACAAGTTAAAGGTAATATAAAGCTATGTTATGAAAGATATCTTTCTTAACCGACAGAAAGACACCTGCTTTTGAATGCTGAGTCTTCCATTTTTATGGTTTTTAGAAAACAACTTCAGAAACTGACACAAAAACACTAAGGCAAAATTTGCAGTATTGACTTGGCTGAAGCACTAGAGATCGCTACCATAGAGCTATATGCTTTTAAGTTTAAGCTTGTTTTACGTAACTTTTTAAATTTACATAAATAAAGATTTCAGCCTACAGACTGCAGCTTCCTTTAATATTTAAATGCATTCAGAATAAACCATATATATATATACATGTATATTTGTGTATGGTTTATAATCTCAGATATATGTATATGTGTGTGTATGAGATTAAGATATATGTGCATCTCATATGTATGTATATCATGTGTGTGTATATCTTGTATGTGTATGTAAAACCATAGTTCTACATAATGAAATAACCTATTGTTTTTAAGGTCTAGTGCAATTCCATGCTATTGGCCAGCTATGCTGTTGGTAGTGTAAATGGAGAATAGATTTAATGGTCTTTTGTAACACAAGCTAACGTGAACAATAAGACAGACACCAGAACTGTCCTATTCCTTAGTTTCTGCCTATATTTTCTTTGGAAATCTGGTTGGATTACAGCCAGTTTCACACCACCTGCTACATGTTTTCTTCTTAGGATATTTTTCCACTTTATGTTAAGTAAGATCAGAGGCTTGCACAATACTGACTCCTTTCCCAAGCACCGCAGAAGGTCTCTGGAAAAGGTACACAGCCTTGCTCCGTACTGCATTTATCTTCAAGGGAAGAACTCTAAGGCCAATAATTACTAAGAAAAAATCACTAAAGTCTTCATATTGGGCAGTACAGTTTCAATAAATCTGTGTAAGAAGTTGAGGCTTAGGATGACGTTTTTCTTGATATTTACAAAATCTGCCATTGTGAAAGGTTACAGTAACTGCCCTTTCTTCAGGCTGATGAGAATGAGAAGATTTGAAAGAGATTCAACATGCAAGTGGGTCAGCCTGGCTGGGGATAGTGATTCTTTCCTTTGATCTATGGCACTTTCGTTTGTAGCTCTACTACATGGAGAGCTGAACTGGTTTACATTGCAGCCCAGATTATTACAGTACACTGGCATGAATTTTAGCTTACCATAAAATGCAGTTTTGATGGATCAGCTGGTGGTTCATGAATAGCCAATATGAACTGGAACTTCTCCAGCAGTGGTTGCTCAGGAATCAGAGCTTTTGGAGTTGACCTCACGAGTCTCTCTGAGAAGTATATAAATTTGTCTTGGGCACATGGCAAGGTTTCTTTTCCTTACTTCACTGTGTAATAAGTCACATAAGGATGAAATACTAAAGCTGGGGTACTCGTAACAAAAGTTAGGCTTAACTTGGTAAAACTGCATGCTATTCAAGAGACTCTCGGTGGGTGTGTAACACTGTGGTTGTGAGTGAGTTGTTTTTAAATCAAGGTATCGCTAAGGTTGTGGTCTGATGCTCCTGTTTTCACTTTGAATCTCATTATAATCCCACTGTAACTTTTGAAGCATGTGTAGATTTTAATTAAAATTTTACTTTTTGCAGAATACTTTGTTAATTGAATGTCTTGTTTGAATCACACTGAAACAGATTACATACTTTATTTTAGCTGACAGTGCTTAATCTAGATTAATTTGTACCATTCAACATTATACTGGTGAAAAATAAAAGGTAGCGTTACAGGCATATCAGGGTCTTGCTACAGCATAAAAATCAAAGAACTAATATTTTCCAAACATGCACAACCACTGTGTTATTAAAAGGTCACCGTTTGTTCACGCTTTGAAGTATGACATCATACATGATGCATGACCTTTGGAAAGCACACAAAAATGTTGTGGAAAGAATTAATATTTTAAAACTTGCTTTATTAACTGCATTTCATATACGCATAGTTATACGTGTTAGCACATATCTACCAGTTAGGTCTTAAGATCAGGCAATGCTCATTGCTTCTTTTTTGAACTTAAACCTTCTCTGTCTCTGCTATTGTTACTTTCTGCGTTAGAATTTGAGATTATCTAAAGAAGAACTCAAGAGTATGTTCAAATTTCTCTCTGAATTTGTTTTTCTGATTGGTAATCTGTTTTGGATTTCACATCATAATCTCCTCCTACACTCTCTTACCATGTCAGAAAGCTGATCCATCCTGCAGTATAAATTTTGATCCACTGTTGTATATGATACATAGAAATGCTTTTGGCCTTGGGCAAAAAAAGATAAAAGAGAGAAATGCCAAATTTGAATGACACAACCTACATTGATATTCTCCCTAAAACCCTTGGTACAGCAGTTCTTGTTTTTAAATTAAATTTCAAGGAATTAAAAGAAAAAAAAAAAGATTTGAACAAGTATGGTTTGGATATCACAGAATGGCTGAGATTGGAAGGGGCCTCTGGAAGAACCGCTTGTCCAAGTTCCCTGTTCAAAAGCAGGTTCATCTAGAATAGGTTGCCCACAACTACTGCCCACAGCTTAAAGAATATTAACAGTATGTGGATATAATTAATACTCATGTGATTAAGTTTTCTTAAAATTGAATTATTGTGTCATTTAAAAATAAATGCTTATGTTTTAAGAAGATATTTCAAAGGTTGAAACTCCACAGAAAATTCAGAACAGGTTTTTGTTTAAATAGGTAACAATTCCTAAAGCTATAAATATGCATGACAATATATGGTATTATATTGTATCTTAAAATAATAGGTAATTTTATTATGGAATGTATTTTTCTTAAAATACCTATGCTATGGATGTATTGTTAACACCATCTTTACTTGACTTCTTGGTAATGAGGTTAGGTATACGTGTATGAATCCATTAGAACGCTGTGTCATTGTCATCCACAAAACATGAATATATTGATGTTCAAGAATTCACATTTGTGTATATATAAAATATAAAAGACAGATTTCATCTTTACTTGTTTGCCATTACTGTAATGAAGACCTTATCGAAGGAAAAAAGTCAGTGACTTTCATTTGATACAAAGAATTAGTGCTTAGGTACATGCGGATAAAACATTGCTTTTGAGAGTTGTGTACAGAAGATAAAGAGGACAAGCGGCTCTGCACTAGCTAGCAGTTGTGTGTGTATGTGTATATGTATTTTACAACTTATTTCTTATGTCCTTATTCACTTCGTAGTTTTCCATGATTCTTCCTGAAAGCAGGCATTACTTTTCAAGTAAGTGTAGCTTTTCTGGCTCAACGTGAGGAGCATATGACAGAGAACTTTAATGGAAAAATACCTCAATCAAACATGTGGTAGCTGAAGGAGTAATTAATTAATCAATGTCTGCTTTTAATACTATTTTGTGATAATTTCTCTTAATAATACTTAATTTATTCTGCAATTTATTTTTGCATTTAATATTTTCAATGAAACAGATGTCCCTTTTACATTTTTACATTATTTCTTGCATGAAGCATCGTTAGTATTCCTGAGCAATTTGTTAAATTAATCTTTTGTCTTTATTTAGGTATATGAGTTAGATGGCATTCCCCTGATCCTGGACAACTGCAGCATTGATGACAACAATCCTTGTATCCTTTACGGAAGAATTCAACTCTATTGAATATGACACATTTTTGGAAACTAAGATAAAAAAGATAGGGGAGCTTAATATACATTTGTTAGCATTGCTTTCAATTGGTACCTAAGTCTAACTGGCCTTAGGATTCTAGCTTGTTTTTAAATGCTTGGTTGAGAAGCAAGTGAATTTGTGAAAATGCATTCGTGAACTGGACACTGAGTTGAAATGTATTTTGTTTCCTAAAATAATTAATATTACTGTTTTACAGTGTAAATTCACACAGCTAACTGTGATAGAAATCTGAATTAAGGCTGTTCTGTCATTGTGTCAGATCTGGAGTTTACGTTTCAACTGAAGTCCGTTCAGTAGACTGTAATAAGTACCCCCATCAATTCTATGCACTTATTAAATCTGCCTGTGGAGAACTTATTCTAAGCACAGAAACAAGGCTAGCAAGCTGCAGAATGAAAATGTGTATAATTGAGAGTGTCATCTGAGTTATCACTGTTGCTTTGTGTGCACTGTTTTTACATTCATCAGTTTTCGTATAGAGGGAGACTCGATAGTGTTCTCTTGATGGTGCACTGAGTAGTAGAGTAGTATTTCTATGGTCGTGTTCTGGTACGAGGCACTGCAGGGATGCAGAGGGAAGGGCAGGAGAAGTTATGCTTTTCCAAGCAGAAGAGCAGCCTTGAGAAAACCTAGTCAGGAGTTTTGAACCTGAATGACTTTGCTGGAAAGCACAGCTCATGCAGCAATGTTTAGAATCTCTTTCTACAAATATTCCTTAATTTTAGCTGTTAGTACAATAGAATAAAATTTGAAGTCTTCAGATGATAGAGTTGTAATTTACAACCTTGAGTGAAATGAAAATTAAATACCAAGTTGGAGCCTTTACTGCATTTTGGGCGATGAGAAACTTCTAACCTTTTGATACAGGCTGTTAATTTATGGCTGAACTATAAACCTCTTACCAGAAGATAAAACTTAGTTTTAAAGATTTACTTGTCATAGTGACAAGCATGCAGTTTGCAGGTACATGGAAAAAGTACTAGCACTTGGGCAGAGTGGGGGCTAGCCTGTTGTAAGGTTTACTGTGTCAGCTTTTGGTGAACAGTTTCTGGCTACTGTTTTATTGTTTTGGTGTAAAGTTATTATTCCAAGCACTGTTGTGTTGTATGAAGTTAATGCTTTCCTGCTTCTCTTCTGCCTCTTTAACATTCCTAGTCTACTGTGTTCTCACCATGTCTTATGTGGGAAAGTGAAAGAGGAGTTTGACATTTGTATCCATCTCTGCTTTTATCCACTTGGTAGCACATTCTGATACTACCAGACACCACAAACCAAGGCCTCAGTAGCATGTAGGTGTCCAGCTCCATTGCATAACATTTCTCTGAAGAGATGACTGATTCCCTTCTCCCTCTGTGCACGCCATTCTGCTTGGAACAAATCTGTTTTGTGATGTTTGTAAAACAGAGCAATACTGATTCGAAAGCCTACTTACTTGAAATTGAAACATCTTAAAATTGCCCAAAATCTAATTCTATGATCCAGAGTGAATGTACTTTGTATCTTTTCTCTTTTTAAGGAGGATTAATTAAAAGGAAACATTTAGGTAACTTGAGTTAAATGTTGAGGGAGTTGCTGAAATTTGTATACTATTACCCAATGATGCTGCAGTTTGCCAATGTAAGATTGTAGAATGCAGTGAGGGAAAGCCTGATGTAGCACTTCAGCAAGGGTTTCTTTGGGAAGTCTTGTCCAGAAACTTCTCTTTACATTCTTGTTTCTAGTGCCCATTTTTGTGGTTTCAGGTTGTGTTGTCCACATCTCCTTGTGTGAAGCCAACTGGAAAAGTTTCAACCAGTTTCCTTTACTATGAGAACATCTTACATTTCCTCCTAGAGTCTTTGTAGATGCACATATTCATTTGAAATATGTCTGGTTTGGAGACATCCAAGCTCTACAGTTTAGATATTGTTATATTTTTCACTTAAAAATAGAGTTAATATACAGATTTTGTAGATTTTATCAACTGAGGTATATCAACCTCTGAATCATACCTACAAAATCTTCTAAAGGAAGGTGTAATTGTGGTAAAAGTGACATGATCCTTTTCTGGGTGGGGAAAAAATACATAAAGTATGCAGTTTGTGAGGAGAAGGTGGACTGCCATGTTAGATGTTAAAAGGTTTTTATTATCTTTGAGAGGAGAAATCCTTTAATAAATCTTTTTATTTATAGCATATGGAAGCATACTGAAAGAGTAAATAGGTCTGCTCTTATCTCAGAATAAATTCCCATGTAAACCTGTCATTGCCTTAAAATCACATCCTTTGAGTTCTTGAACAACTTTGTTATATGCACACAAACATCAGGAGGTTCATTCCTTATAAGATTATTAACTGAAGTTCAGCTGGCATGTTTGTATTACTTCAGCTTTCTGGGTTTGAATTCTTTTGGTGCATCAGTGTTACCTTGTCTAATTAGATTTCTAACAGACTTGTATCTTCCAAATTTGTGCTAACAAGTAGTAGTTTTTCCTATAGGAATTGTTATGATACAACAGCAATAAAAGACTCTCAATAATAAATAATAATAAATAATGGATGTGAAGATGATAATGAACCCCAAACAAACTTTCTGTACATCTTACAAAGATTTAAATTAGCATGTTAAATTTTCAACTACTGTAACTTTGCACAGTTCCAGATAAATTTACTGGAGTAATACTGAGAGATGCTAGTTTTTCAACTTTTACATATCAGGCTTTTAGTATAGGGGGAAAATGTAAATAATTAAAGATGTGGAAGATAAGATTTGTTATAGACCTTGGGGTCAGAAGCATTAAACATCAAAGAAGGCTGAATGCCACCTTAACTTTTTCTGTGCCCTTTAAATGTTCCTTTTTGGATTTGTCATATCCTAGTCATAGTTGTCCTTCTGTATTCAAAAGAAGAAAAAGGTGTTTCTAGACAAGTAAACTACTTGTTTACCTTTGGATTAAGGATAGGTTCTTTGAAAATTCAGTTCCTTGCTCTACATCTGCAAAGTTGGGAGCATTTTGGTTTTATTTATGTGCCTTGTGTTTGCAAATAAATAAATAAAGCCTGCTGCTAAAGAGCAAAGTGGATTTGAAATGCCTATCTGGGTAATGTCAGTTAAAATTTATTCCAGATCCAGCTTTTCAGATTACTTGGGCTGAAAAAGTGATCTAGAATAAAATGTCTTCTATTCTGTTTCCTGAGCCACCATTTTCTTCATCTCTGATAGGCAGTAGTGTCAGACAAGAGCCCTTCTTTTGTCTTTGACCTCTTCCTCATTTCTTACTGCTCCTTCTAGCTTCCTTTCTGACCTTTCACAGATACCGCTTGCTTACCACAAACAAAAGGAGGGAGGCCATCCCATTCAAATCAAAACGTTAAAGCTTTGTTGACTCTAATCATACAAAAAAAGGTGTTTATTAAAAACTGCTCATAAACTGTCCTGTTTATTATTGAAGAGTTTTCAGTTTATCATAAATACATAGGCACTCAAAGTGATACCTGTTAGTTAATGATAAAATTTGAAGATGAGAGGTGAAATGCAGCTTTGAAGGTAGAGTATTCTTGATTTTTCAGGATTCTTACCAATCTTAAATTTATGAGATTCTTATAGTGGGTTTCTCAATTTGATTTCTCAAATTGATTTTGTGACTGAATTGAATTGGAATAGACCTTATCCTTATGTAAGTGTCCATATTATGTTATCCCTAATCAGGCATGTTTTTCTGTTAGTCAAAAGTGAAGTCATACTTGAAGAAAAAAAATGGTGTAGTATGTGTGCACATGCATTTTTACATGTATGAATACACCCAGCTGCTTATGTTTCAGCAATAAGAATTTTAGTACAAGGGAAAACTGTGGTTGCTGTGGATATCCATACAGAGTCCTTAGTCTGAATAATGGATGAAAGTGTAAGAAATATAAGTTAATTTTCAGATACTCCTTGCCTAAGCTTCAGTCTGAAGTTTATGTTCGGTCTGAAAGTCACCTAAGAGGTAGATTGAAAATACTTCTGACTTGATGGCAACAGCAAGTATAATTGTGGTTCATGAAACTTTTGGCTGAAGCTAGAAGAAATCAAGTTGCTATGGTCTACAACAATGGCAGTTTGTTTTTGTGAGATGCCAGCAAAGACTTTTGGGGGAACTGACAAACATTTTCTTCCTAAGTTACAGAATACAACCTAAAATAGGCCACATACAGTGAAAAAGCCTCACAGATGAATAGAAGCCAGTAGAAAGCAAAAATATGAGTGTAAGTTGACTTTTTAGAATGAACTATGATATAGCTGAGCATTTTCATGTAGATGTGGCTATCCCTTGTATGTTGGCAAGAAAAAGCAGGATAATGTTCTGTCAGTACTGGTTGCCTTTCTTTGGAAAACTTGCTGTAGGCACTGTCAGTGCATTCACCAATTTGAGGTGAACTATTTGACTCTATTTTCATAAGCATACATAAAATAATGTTATTTAAATGGATACAGTTAGTTCAAAGGAACTAGAGTACTGCTGAAAACAGTAATGATCACTCTCTCCATGCCCTGTCAAGTTCTGTCCACTTCGAAGAAACTGCCCATTTCCTCATCCCATTGACAGTTGCTTTGCTGCACAAATCTGAAGGCTACCGGGAATAAACGGAAGTGTATTCTTTGGAAGAGGGATGCAGTTTTGCATTATCACAGGTTGCTGCTACAGTAGCCCTTATCCTTAGACACGGAGCACTGTTAGAATCTTATTTGCTGTAAACCAGTGCTGATTGTCGCTATGACACTAATAAAAAGGTATCAACTCAATTTCTAGTGACTCCTCAGAGGCTGAGGACCTACAGGTTGGCAATTTAAGAATGGGACTTGTCAGCACAGGTGAAGATCCAAAATTTGTTGACCTGGACTCAGAGGTTCATAGTGCCAAAGACAACATAAAATAGCAGCTGAGTAGCAGCCAATTACTATAGGTGGAACTAGAAT